TCATCAGCTGGCGATAAGAATACAGATGAGCAGCTACACATAACCTGAGGGAGGGTCAGAGCATTCTCAGGGTAGTTGAAGTCTGTGTCACAAGCAAATACGAGTTGCCTGGTCCAAGTAAAAGGAGATCCTGGTTGTGAAATTGCTCAGTAAATAAAGTACAGGTTTTTGCACAGACACATCTCATCCTGCTACCTGCAATTGAAGTTTAATCCTTTTAAAAATACCGAGAAACTTCCAGTGTTGTCCAGGTAGTTGCATCTTTTGTATTTCTTGCTTAATCCCTAGCCTGCTATGGATACCTAAACTTGCACCTTTGTCTCTACGGGTGTTATTTTAAGACCTCATGCCACGTGTCCAGGACTGAAGTATTTCCTCAGTAGTAATGACCTCCAAAGTGTTGTTTTAGACAAGGTTCAGCCTTTTTTCAGTATCATCATGGCTTTACAGGGCTTTAACAGAGTTCAGCTGACCTACTGGTTAAAGAGCAGGAAAAGGTTAGTGGTTAGTCTCTGATAGGTTTTCAGTTCTTTCACATACCCCCACCCGACAGTACTGATCCAGGTAGAAGCAGAAGGCTTTAACGACAGAGAAGAAGAAAGGTCAAACTGTGAACTTGTGCAGCACCACTCTAACGAGGCCTCTGTAGGGAGCACGGTTCCTGAATCCCAGCACCAGCACTGCTGCTCTGGTTCCAGGAGGAGCTGGAAGGCTCAGTGATGTGCTACCAAATCTGCAGCTATCTAGAAACACTGCAATTGTGTCACTGTCACTGGGGAGAAACAAATCCAAGAACCTACCAACATTTATTGAAGAAATATTCCCTGCAAAGTACAGTTCAAGAAATATCACTTTATGACTTTGAGCTAACGGTGTCAAGTTCTGCATTGCACCTGGAAGTAACTGTCTGGATTCACACATAGGTATCGTGCAAGTGCCCATCTCTCAAACTCCCTCGGGCACAAACCCATCTAATAAAAACAAATAAAAAACCCTCCTCCTCCTAATAGTTCCCTCCTTACCATCACCTTCAAGATCTGATTCATTGTATCTGGATACTCTAGTTTCTCTTTAGTTCTGTTAAAAAAATTTGTTTGTAAGCTTCCAAAATGCTTCCAAATAAACACACTGTCTATTCTACTTACATCGCAGTTGCTTTTCCTTGGGACGGATTTTCTTCTCGGATCTCTAATCCTTCTTGCAGTTCCCTGCCAGGCAGACTTCCACATCGCACCGATTGCCGTTGCGGTTTGCGCGCGCGCTGCTTATGTGCCAACTGGGCTGAAATTCAGCGGCGCAACCTTCAGCAAGTCATTTGGCAGCCAGAATCACTAATTTCATAATGACTGAATGCTTCTAAAGAGCCTAAACAAAATGGAAGGACCTTAATGAACGCTCTTGACTTTTGCAACTCTCTTCTGATTGACATTTATCCTTCAAAATGCTGTTTGTAGTTTTTAATAAAGGCGGCAATAGCCTTACACTTAAAACTGCTTTGAAACCCCGCTGCGATCAGTTGGAGAATTAATTGTTTCACTGGGTACAGCCACAGCTGGATTTTTAAACAAAGGAACCTTCTAGATCCCCAAACCAGTATGTAATTGCAGTCTGTTTCTAGGGAGCAGAAACCTCTTGTTCAAGGGAACTTGGAAAGCTCCAGGAATTGCAAGTCGGTTAATCAGTACGCTGAAAAGGTCAGGATATGAGCCATGTAGAAAGCGAGTGATGGTACAGTTCATCATGGGGGTGTCAGGGGAGCTCAGCTAAGCACGTCGTAACACAAGCGTACGCCGAGTGAGTAGGTGTCAGCTGATGTGTCCAGTAGGTGTCAGTTGATGTATCCAGTTGAGACCATTAGGGAGATGCACAGGCTGCTGTTGCAAGTAAGGCGTGAAACGGAGATAAAGCTTGAGAGCTCTGGTCAAGTCCCCAGGGAACTTCAAGGCGTGTAGGTACTTACGTGAGACAAGTAGATCAATCTGTGCTCAGAAACACAGCTAAACAGCGATAACGGGTTTTGCTGGTACACTGGTTTGGGTGGAATGCTCTACAGAGATGTTTCTGCATGTGACGTTGGTGGAAGAGGCGTTATTACAACTGTCTCTGGTAGCAAGCTGTGAGTGGCAGAATCTAATAATATTGTAATAAATCTTGTACCCCCCGCTTCAGTCTCCTGGCAGACTGAAAGCGCCACAACTTGGTGAATTATTTTTTTTTCCCAGTCCTGAAAAACTGCTATGCTTTAAAATTCCTAATATTCAAATGCTGCTTGTTCTGCTTATACCGTGTGGGAGTTCAGCTTCAAAGCCTTTGTGTACAAAGACATGCAAGAAAGATAGTTTGTTGTTCTTCTTGTTTGGTTTTTTTTTTTAATCTTAAATGTGTGTAAAGTGAAATCAACATCAAACAGCAGAAAGACCTATGCTGTCATTGGCCTGCAGGAACAAGTAATCTAATTTAAGGTCATGGACCAGCTTTGGTGCTTAAATTTTCCTGGTTTTAGATGACATGAAATCGTCTCTAACATTTGTTCCATAATCCAAATTAAAATGCATCAGATACATGTGTGGACGAAGATATTTTGTGCAAACTTGCATCTTGAAAATGTAAGTAAACAGAACTTAATTACATCTGCATTTCACTGTTCGTTTGGGCAGCTGGGAGCTTACGGGTGCGATCAGTAGGTGACGTTGGCTTTCACCTTTATGAATACGTTTTTTGTGTGTAATCTAAATCTCAAAATTGTCAAATTTTAGAATATTTTGCCCTTAAAGAGGAAGAAGGAAAAAAAAAATACAAAACACCTAGCATTCCTGTCTAAACTGTTTGTCAGGTTACTTGGTGGAAGGTGTTGTTACAAGTTATTAAAATCCTAGAAGCATTTAAAGGGTGGCT